GTCTGCCGGGGGGCGATCCCAAACCGCTGTGCCGGCTGTAGGTGCGGGTTCCATGTCCTGCGTTGGGGCAGGAGCCATCAGCCTCACGCAGCCGGGCTGGGAGAAGTTCCGTGGGGAGGGATCCGGGAGCCCCGAGAGCTGCTCTGAGTCCTTTGTACCCTGCTGCTGAGCAAGATCCACGCTCCGGGCTCAGGGATACTGCTCAGCTGGACAAGCCGGCCGGCTGCGTTCAGCCGTCAGCTTTGAAGGTAAGGATACTGTTCTTTGCCGGGTTTCCAGCCCCAGGGCTGGCAGAGAGGCCGTGGGAATTGTTCCGTGCCGATTCCACACCTTTAAATGTGGGAAAAAAATGCTGCCCTTCAAATGGGAAAGTTGGATAGAGGGAGGGAGAAGGAAAGTCAGTGCAGAGGCTCAGTCGCTGCGTGGCCTCCTTGAACGCAGATTGTACAGGTGGAAGCATCCCCAGGGATGTTCCCGCTCCTTTATCACCACACAGAGCCTTACACAGTAATGCACTGTTCAACAAATTACTGAGCTGATGCAGTTTTCACTCACGGGGAGGAGGAAGAGGAGGGAAATGTGTTTGAGGTCCTGGGGCAGGTGTGATTTTCGAACCTGTTGCCGTAGGTTGGTTCCTTCTTGGTTTAGCAGAGTCTGAAAGCAAATACATTTCCAGTAATGTATTTCCATTTTTCATCATTCCTGTAAGATTTTGAAGTGCAGTCAACCTTGAGATTGCAGAGCTTGTTTCTTTTTTTCCTCCCTTGCCATCAAAATATACCTTTTACTGACGAAATTAACCTTTTGCTTGGGATTTTTCTGCAGAATAAATTAGGTCAAACTTTCTGGATATTAAAGGGAAACTGAAATGATGGGGTTGCTTTGCTCAGACAACCTGAGAGCAGAATCTAGCCCATGAGTTTTTTTGAAGGGAAGTAAAACTATAATAAGAACAGTGCAAACCCTGAGGCATCTGAGATCCCCAGGAAACCTGGGATGCTCCCACATCATGGTGCAACCAGGCATTTATCCTATTGGTTTAAGAGGGCTCCTTACAGAAAGGACTGAAAGACTGATGTTGTAGAAAGACTCTGGGGTATATGAGCATCACAACCCCACGGGCTGGTGCAGCTCATGGGAGAATTTAAAAGCTGCAATATTTTAAGCTGTGGAAGTACATCCCTGGGAAGGATGGCACATCCTGCTTTATCCCAGTAATTTCCACACAGATGTTAGGATTGTCTCATCTCCCACTTTCCTGCATTAACAATTCTCCAGGTGGAGAAGCTGCATTTCTCAGTTAACAGGGACTGTGGATGAGCTTCCAGGGCCCCTCTGCCTGGGGATCCTTGAAAAGGAATCAGGAGCAGCAAGACCCTCTTGTCTGCACTCTAAATTAGGGTTCAGGGTCCAGGCCTGAAGTTTCAAGCACCCATCATCCCTTTCTTTTGTCGTAGAGAAGTTATGGATGTCAAATAAGGACAGCCTTATTTCCAGTCCTCAGCCTGTCTTTGACCAAAGAATAGTAAGACAAGAGAGTTTTTCCCTAGTGTTTTTTGAGTGTGGGCACATCTGTCTCCTGTTTTTGTTCATCATTGAGTCATACTCCTGGATACATCCTGCATTAAGGAACCTTCTGTGAGTTTTTCACTTGAGAAGACCTTTTAACCCAGGCTGATGGCTAAGATGGTACTTGAGGAGCACAGGGCACTTGCAAAGAGGAACTCTAATAACCGTGTCCTAATGCTACTTAAAGTTTGAGAGTGGTGTGTATTTGCAGAACAGTAGCAGAGTAATGTTCTGTAAGTAATGATCTGCTTTAATTAGAGCTGTACTAACACTGATACAGACTTAATGACCGTCTGGGAACAGTCTTTGCAGAAAAAGGAAAATGTGGCTTTGAAACCTTCTTGTTTCAGTTATATCTAAAAAACCCCAGATAATTAATCCAGACTTCTCCTCTATCATTCTCATCTATCCACGGCTATAGAACAAAAATCTGACACCATTTTTTTAAAAACCTTAAGACCTGGTGTTTTACAAACCAATGTCAGATTTTAAGGTTTAAACCATAGGTTTTTCGTCAAAACTGATTTTTGCTGTTCATGTATTAGAAGCCCCATGGTCTTCTGGGACAATGTGGGGCTGACTGGGTGGTGCTCATGTGTGTAAACTGGTTAGGGGTCAGCTTGAGGTGGGAATCAGAGGACTGTTTCCAGACCTTACAGAAGTACCAGAGGTGTGAGGACACCAGCATGTCCCAGCAGATATGGGAGACGAGCTGGGAGATGGATGTGGAACATGGAATGGCCCCTGCAGTGGCAGGTTCTGGAGCTTGGCTGGCTGTGTGGCCACGGGTTGTCTCCATGTGGTTTTCCCAGCTGGCAGTCGCTGTGCTGTCTGTGCAGACCATGCAGGGGGGGAGAACGGGCTGAACAGTTTTCCTGCCAGGAAGTGTGGCTGCATTGAAATCCAACTGTTCTGCAGGAGCTCATCCAGCCTGGTGACATCCTCAGTGGGGCTGTTACAAAGAGTGGCACAGATTATCCCCTTTCCTGTCAGTAACAGAAGAGCTGGAGACAGGATGCTTTATTTTATTTTTATGGGGTGTTACTGGGATGTGAAATGTCGTCCAAGGAACACTTTCATCAAGACTGATGTACTTAAGACACCCTGCAGACTTCTAGCAGTGCTGGCTCAGGGAGCTGCCACAGAGATGATGCCCAAAAAATGTGCCTGTTCATCCCAGCTTGGCTGAGTAGAAGCTTTCTTTCTTACCTTCTTAGTTATTTCTAGATAGTTTTAGTTATTTCTTGATTTTAATTTTTTTTTTAACTTGAAAAAAACAAACCCACTAAATCCAGCAAATAAATAGAAGTAAAGGGAGGGAGCTGAGGATTTTGAAGGATGAGTGGGTGCATGTGATACATGATTACATCCAAGGACAAGGTCAGCATTGCTCTTAGAAAAAGCATTCCAGCTTTACAATCATATAGGAGTGCCTGGAAGAAATGAGCAGGTATGTGGATGAGAAGCACCTAGCTGGTGTAGCCTGCTTGGATTTCTGAAAGGTTTTCAATATGGTCCCTCGTGGTGGGGGATTTTAAGGAAACTTAATAGCCCTGAGCTAAGAAGGAAGTTCTTTCTGTGAATAAATACTTGTCTGGAAGGTGAAATGCGGGGGGAGAGTGGACAGTGAGTCAGCATGTGGAAGAGAGGCCAGTGATGCTCTTTGCAAGGATAGGGGCTGGGATATGTGGGAACCTATAAACCTCCAACTGGAAAAATCATGAATCCTGAAGTGGTGATATTTGCAGGTGAAACAAAGTTTAATCAGGGCCTGAAGGATAAGGAAGGCCTGACTCAATGAATTGTAGAAAAGCTTTTATGAGACTCAGTGAGCATTAAAGTGGAAGAAGAAGCTCAACTGTGAAGTGATGGAGTTTGGGGAAGATGAAGAGAACTTTATTTCCTCATTTCATCCTATTTTCCCATCTAAAGCTGCTGTTACTGCTCAGGAACAAGACCTTTGGATGGTGACAGCCCAATGGAAAGGTCACTTCAGTGCTCAGCACCAATCAAACCAGCAAACCGAGCCCGGAATGGTCATGAAAGGGAGGCAGGACAAAACAGAGATTATGCCCTTAGATAAATCCACAGCCCATTTACCTCTCAGAATTTTTTTTGAGTGTTGGTCCATCCCAGAGGCACAGAAGAGCAGGAGGGATGGACAGGAATACTCCATTGCTTCTGTACAAGGAATGAGCAAATTGGCAGAGGCTCTTCAGCCTGACTAAGAGAAGAAGAGGGGCCTTGGGGATGTGACAGAGGTTAAAGAGCTCACCAGTGCCATTGAGAGAGTGGATGGGGATTGTTTCCATGATGTGTCTTCCAAGGACCAGCGGGCACCAAATGAAACTAGCTGGTGACAGGCTCAGAACAAGCAAAAAGAGGTGTTTATTTGCATGGTGCATAGCTGAGCTGTGGGAGGTGTTGCTATGGGAGGTCATGGATGCTAAAAGTTTGCTGGGCCAAAGGGGAAGCAAGGACAACGTCATGATTTAGAAGTCCTCAAAATGGTCTTTAGAGGTAATTCTGGATCATAGGCTGCTGGAAGGAAAAGCAGATACTGGGGACATTTTGCTACATTCTTACAATGCTCCAAAGGCAAAGTTTGGCCACTGTGAGATGAGACATGTAGGACTACAGGGGTGTTTATGGAGACCCACCCTCAGGCTGCACTCAGTAGTGATGTCCTGGAGACATGGGATTGACCTGAGGATACTGTGCAAGCAGAGCCTGGTCACAGGAGAAGTGATGGTATTTAAATAATAACAGTTTGACGTCTGGAAATAATTCCATACTTCTCTTTTCTCCACAGGTTTTGTCTTTGCCCTTAGTCACACCAGTGTGTTTCGAATTGCTGGATTTTCTGCAGCACATCATTCCCACCTTCCCAGGTGTTTGTGGCACCACTCAGTCAAAGTCTGGGAACTGAGCTGTGTACACAAACACATGACTTTCCTCAACTGGAAAATCCAAATTGAAAAATGATTAAGCTCCCTGTGTGGTTACAGGCAGCCCTGCATGGCCATTCAGACTGGAAGATGAAGCTGCCCATGATGGCAGTAAAAAAATCTCTTAGCTTCAGAGCCTGAAAAAGCACCAGGACAACCCAGGGCAGGGCACGGGCTGGACAGTGGGGTTATGGGAGCAGCCAGCCTGGGCAAGCAGCCTCAGTTGGTCTGGGGGTGGCAAAGATGATGGTGATAAGAATATAGAATCATAGAATGGTTTAGGTTGAAAGGGACTTTAAAGATCATCTAGCTGTTCAGTGGGATCTAGCCCAGCTGCTTTAATTTTTGCTTTCAGATGTTTGCTTGTCCTTTCTCTGATCTCGGTACATTTCTTTTTTCTTTTTTTTTTTCTTTTGTCTCGTATTTCCTCTGATGATGCATTTTTGTTCACAGAAGGGCTTTTAATTGCCATGAAGGACTTATGCTGCACATTTATCCTCACCCTTAGGATTTCAGACACTTCTAATGGACTCATAACCACGGGACAGTGATGGCACAGGCACAGCAGGGTGCGTGGATTTTCCTTGGAGTAAATAAAGCATAAACAATGTTTCTGTCCTTCATTTCACACACCTACAAGTCGTGCATCAAAGTAATTTTGTTTTTCCCCTTTCCTCTCTTTCAGATTTTAACAGTGGGAAGATGCTGATGGACAAAAACGAAACTTGGCTCTCTAATTTCTCCTCTGCTGCCTCCTCCTTTGTGAGGAGAGGGATTGGGCTCCAGGAGGTGGTCATTGGCCTGATCCTCACCCTCATCGACCTGATCACCCTCCTGGGAAATACTGTGGTCTTCCTCTGCCCCGTGGTGGAGAAGAGGCTGCGCACTGTCACCTACATGTTCATCATGTCCTTAGCCATGGCAGACTTCCTTGTGGCCTGTCTGGTCATGCCCTTCAGGTGAGGAGTGTCACTGGTACAGTGACACGTGCACGAACGTCCTTTCTCCCTGCTCTGCATCTGCTCTTTGAGCAGGGCTGGCTGGAAGTTCACCTGCTGGGCTTAGGGCTGGGCTTAACTGTGGGTTGGTGATTATCTGTGCTTCCATGTCTCTGCCCTGTGTTATGGATCCCCTTATAATGGATGGAGAGACAATTCCCAAGGGTGTTTTTCCTGCTGGCCACACAGGGACCCTGGCTGTCTGAACTAGATGTCCAGCTTTGCCCGTGGCTCCAGGGCAATGAGTCCCCTCTTCCAGGAACAGCTCTGTGTTGCACGTGGGGCCAGCATGGTTGGTAGAGGATTTTGCAGGCTCCAAGTGTTTGGGGAATGTGAGCTGGGGACTGCATTAAGAGCAGTGACTGCTGATGGAGTGGTTGTTGTATCCCATCTTTCCCACTGTCTTGGCTTCCTATCTATGTTGCTCCTTTGAATTTCAGTTTGCTCCTCAGTTGGCATGTTAGCACATGCCAAAGAGAAGGGAAAGAAGTGACCTTAGAAGCTGGTTTGGCTCAGGAAAATGTGACAGAAAGGAAAAACAAGGTAGGCACCTGGTGCCTTAATCTCAAGAGTCAAACATCTGTTTTGTTCCTGGCTTGGCTTGTTTGAAGGAGTGGCTTAGCTGAGCTTAGCTTTTTGTCTGGGTACTCCAGCCAGCCCAGTTTTTTCCAGGTTGAGTATTTCCAGCTACTCTTTCCTTTTGCAAGTGTAAGTGAAACACAGAGGTGGCTTCACTTCTGCTCAAGCTGTGCATTTTTTTTTTGGCTTTTACTATTCCTTCTTACCCAGCATCATTTCCAAGCTGCAGAGAGACCTTTTACATCAGAGAAGAGGGAACAGGTGTCCACTACCCCGCGGTGTGAGAACATCTGCTAGGATAGGTGCATCCCACCAGATGTGTGCAGATGAGAGCCAGGCACCTCCTCAGCTGGGGTCTGTGTGTGGGAATGTCCTGGATACTTCTGGAAGGCCACAGCACTCACACCACAGGCTCTACAGCATCTCTGGGGATAAGGAGGGCTCTGAGGAATGGCAAAAAGGCACCCGAGTCCATGACTGAACTCGTGCTTCAATTCTGCATGTCATTTCCCCGTCTGAAAAAGAGCCATGAAACCTTTCCATGTGTGTGCAGTGGGACCCTCCATGATGCCCTCATGGGGACCATCATGGTGTAGGGACAGGCTCTGCTGTAGATCCACGTTTGCTTGAATTTTTGCTGGTCATCCCCCAGAACAAAGAGCTGCCAAGGGCTGGGACCTTTTAGCTGCACTGCACCCACCTACAGCAGTTGTTGTGCTCTGGAACAACCTTCACAAGTAATTTTAAAGAGTTGTTGCCAATCAGATGTAGACCAGGCATTGTTTTCTCTCTCCTCTGACACCAAGTTACTCTTTCTGCCCTTGCTGGAAGCAGAGCCCACCTGAGCTCTGCAGAGCAACAGCCTTGATCTCACTGCATTTAACCAGCAAGCTGGGAAGTTACAGGATAATTAAAGCTTTGCAGGACTAGGGAGTTACTCATCAAATTCACACACAAAGGTAATTTCAGCAGCACCCCAGGAGTTGCAGAAAGATGGTGAAAGAAAGGGGAAGTGAATGGCATCTCATTGAATGCTATAGAAACATGCATTAGCCTTCCTACAGCTGCCATATGTTCCTTCCCTCGCTGCTCACTTCTCACAGGCCCCTCTTGACTTTGCTGGAAGTATTTTTGGTATAATGTCTGCTTTTTGCTAGTGTTTACCTCACTGAGGCATTTATGAGCTACATAATGTACAAGCTGCATAGTCTTCCTACCAGATTTTTTTTTTTTAACCAAGGAGTTGAAATCCTCTAGTTCTGAAGGGTGAGATCAGATGTAAAGTGAATCTCTTAGGGCACTGAAAGAAAGCTGTGATAAATGGGGTTGTGCAGATGTAAATTTGGGGAGCTTAGTGGGGCAAAGCCCCTTTCTCAAGGCACCCGCTCAGGGTACAGGCAAGAAGCACAGGTTTGGTCTTCTTTAGCCATGCTCCACCTGTGGGTTATTGCCCTGGGTTGTGCTTTGAGGATGAATCCCTGCTGTCAGAGCTTCATCCCCATCTTTAGTACCTCCATGATAAAACATGGCATTACCTCCGTGCAGTCATGAAGAAATAGAATCACAGAATGGTTTGAGTTGGAAGGGACCTTAAAGATCATCCAGTTCCAAGCCCCTGCCATGGGCAGGGACACCTTCCACTAGACCAGGTTGCTCAGAGGCCCATCCAACCTGGCCTTGAACACTTCCAGGGAATGCACGAACTCAGCCCTTTGAGCTTTGATTTCCACCTGTTTTCTCTCGCAGTATCATTTACGAGGTGACGGGGATGTGGCTGTTTGGGAGGCTTTTCTGCAAAGTCTGGATCTCCTTTGATGTCATGTTCTGCACGGCATCCATTGTCACACTGTGCTTCATCAGCCTGGACAGATACTGCTCCGTGGTGACCCCCTACCACTACTCCAGAAGGATGTCCCGTGGCAGGTGAGTGGAGTTGCTTCTCACTTTGGGTTCCTCCAAATCGTCACTTGTGTGTGGCCTGCACTGAATTTGGACCAAATGAGCTACTGACAGCTGCTGCCCAGAAGCAGAGTGTTGTGGCAAAAGGATCTTTGCACTGTTTAAAACTCTGCTGAAAATGTTTCACGTGGTGCCAGAGAAGAGGAGGATGCAGCTGAGCTGTTTTGATGGTGCTCCTGGAAAAGCAGTTTTTGAGCTAAGGATGGGTTGCAAAATGGGTAGAAACCAGTGATATGGGCTAATTGGACCTACAGCTGTTGCCCTTTGCAGGCATTCCATTGGCATTTCATAGAATCATAGAATGGTTTGGGCTGGAAGAGACCTTAAAGATTATCCAGCCCCAACCTCTCTGCCATGGGCAGGGGCACCTTCAACTAGACCAGGCTGCTCAAAGCCCCATCCAGCCTGGCCTTGAACACTGCCATGGATGGGGAAGGACTTTGAAGCACTTTGAAGGACTAGGGGAAAGAGACCCAGAAGAATGCATGTAGCACTACTCTTCCCTCTCTTAAGCTCATCATGTTTTCTGAAGTGATATTCAGGGAAAACCAAAAGAGTGTATAAGCTCTTGGGTTGGTTTCATGTGAAAGGTTGAAATGAGAACTGAAGGGTAGGGAAAGTCATCTGAGGGTGGGCAGAGAGGTCACTGCAGCAGTGGGATGCTCTACAGGGGGAGTTCAGGCTCTTTTGGGCATGTTTTTCTGCCTCTGTACCCCTTGCTTTGTATGATACGCTGAGTGTGTGCAGTTGCAAAAGTGAGGAAGGGGCTGTGTGGCCACCTGTGTGCAGATTCTGTGATGTTGTGTCCATCAGCTCCACCCCCATCATCCCTCAGAGGGTGAGAAAATGGTCAGATATTAAAGCTGAAACCAAACTGAAAAATCTACATGCTGTTGTTTTAAATAGTAACAAACATCCTCTGTAAAACCTTTCCTCCTCTTTTTTTCAACCAGCTCTGAGCATTCTTTTTGCCGCCCCCAATTCTGTAAACCAGCGACCAATTACCCAGTTGTTAGAGATATTCACGTCTGGACTTGTTGTACCCCAGCTTTTTCCCTTCTCCAAGCCCTGCTGGACTGCTGAGCAGTGATATCCCACACAGGTTACCATGGGGATTGAATCGTACTGGATGTTCTCAAATCAAAATTACTCAGACCCTCTCTCCCCTCCCCGTTTCTTTCCTTTCGCAGATGCATTGTGATGACCTGCATGGTCTGGGTGTATTCCTCCCTCATTTCCTTCCTTCCTGTCATGCAAGGCTGGAACGAGATCCCCGGGGTGGACTTTGATGCGGGCAGGGAATGCATCTTTGTCACCAACTGGATTTTTGCCATCGTGGCTTCTGCCCTGGCGTTTTTCGTCCCCTTCATGGTGATGTGCAGCATGTATTTCTTCATCTACCGAGCGTCGCGGCTCAAGGCCACCCGTATCATGTCCCAGACCCTGGAGATTCACTACCACCCCAACAGCAAGCGGCAGAACCACCTGCAGCTGGAGAACAAGGCCACGAGGACCATCAGCATCATCATCTCAGTCTTCGTGCTCTGCTGGCTGCCCTACTTCGTCCTGAACGTCTGGCTCGCTGCCAGGGGCGCCGACTCCACCAGCACGGTCCTGGTCGACACCTTCAAGATCATCACCTGGTTGGGATACTGCAACTCCACCATCAACCCAATGCTCTACGCCTTCCTGAACAGGGACTTCCAGCGGGCCCTGAAGAAGCTGCTCGTTTGCAGGCACAGGTCTCAGGTGGACATTGGAGAAGACATGGTTTCCATCGCCACCTTCTCCAAGACCGCTCCAGATCTGGAATACAGCACAGCGGTGCCGGTGCCCAACGGTGCCCTGAAGGGCAAACCCAAGTCATAGGGATGCAGGGCCAGTCACTGGAGGTGGTGATACAGAAAGTGCCAGAGCACATCCTAATGGAAAAATAATGGGTAGCAAAATAAGGGAAGGAGGGGCTGGAATACTGCAGCTGGGGACATACAACAAAGATTCATTTCTTAACCTTCCACAGTTATAAGAACGAGGAACTTCGATATTTTCAGGACAATTTGTGATACTAATGGAGTTAATTCCTTCCTGGGTATTTTTTTTTTTTAATGAGCATTTCCCAAGACAAATTCAACCATAATGTTGGGGAAAAAATATCAGTATGATAATGTGAACTCATCTTCCTGTGCATCCTGGTGATCTGTGTCAGGTGGGACAGTGTGTCTTATCAAGCCACTGTAGCTCTCATTTCACAACTTCATTACAGACTTGACCAGTTTCAGTAACTCCACGTGTATCAGTCTGGGTGTGGGAATTAGGAGGGATGTGGCCAAAGAGCAGAGCTCGATTGTTACAGAGGCACCAGTCCACAGCCTGGGCTGTTGCTCAAGGTTCAGCCCTCTTGCTTCTGAGATATTGAGAGGTTTAGAGCTTTCTGAGGCTTTCTGTGAATTATCTGTGAGCTAATTCTGGAAGGGAACATCCTATGTGGCAGAGCCCAGGAGATGAGCAAGACTTGCTGTAATGCCAAGAGCACTGAGTGCCCAGGAGTTTCAAAGGGGACTACAGGTGGCTGACACCACTCAAAGGATGTGAAAAGGAATCATTACTCACTTGTGTGTTTTGCACTGTGATGTCTATGGACCACATAGACATAAAAAAAAATCATGATAAACGGGAACCACAATTTTTACTACTTCTAAGTGCTTGTCTGGACTTCCAACAGCTTTTCTGTAGCAGGGTGACATGAGGGCTGGTGACCCCTGAGACAACAGCCATCGCTTCCCCAGCACAGCTGTGGTGGGGTCTCACACTGGTTTATGTGGGAGGGTTGCTGCACTCAGAGCCTGCTCTTAGACTGATCTTCTATGGGCATGAAACACTTCAAAGATGGTTTCTGAAATACCTCCTTCTGAGTGTCAATCCCTTCTGCAGCCTGGGAAGCAGAGCAAGCACAGCAGAAAGATGTCCAGGCTAACATTTAATGCTAAAACTACCAGACTGAGGCACTGAGAAGGGTGAAGAACTTTATTTTGCTGAAAAATTAAAAAAAGGGGAGGATAATACAAGTTCTGAGTCCTGCTCTTCCACCTCAAAGGTAGCTGAGGACTGTCCTCAGAGGTGTGGCAAAATGCAAGTATGTCCTGCCTGCAGCAGCTCAGCTACTGAAAACACAGGTACAAGGGTCAGGAGTTCTCTCTCAAGAGTATGGTAGAAAAAACAGCCCTGACCTGGGGTTGCAACACTGGTTCTCCTGTCAAATGGCTCTTCATGGAGTGGGTTAGGTCTCCCAGATCCTATGACTCCAGTAACAACATGGAAGTGGTAAGTAGAGTAACTACACCTTACTCTGGGGGCAGCATCTAAGTCCAGTGGGCACAAGGGTGGACAGGGCAGGATTCTTGCTGCTGCCACCCTGTTAATTTTGATAAAACAGGACAAGGAATTATGTTCCAGCCCCAAGAGCTTTGGGGGGGAAGGCAGCTGAGGGACAGGTAATATCCTCTGTAAGAAGGGGATTGGGACAGTGCATCACAGCCCCAGTCAAAGCCCCTCCTGCAGGGCTGTAGGCTCCCAGCTATCCCAGTTCAGGTGTCCTTCCACAAAAACAGCTGGCAGGAAGGAACACTCCATTCACAGGAGAACCTCTCTGGTCAGGGAAAAGGCTTTCTCAGTCAAACGCTGGGGCAAAGAGGTGCAAAGACAGGGACAACACACTCCAGCAAAGACTGACCCAGGCAGTGAGGGGCTGAGCATGGCCAGATGCTTTTGTGGGCATGGGCCACACAGGGGAGGGTTTGTACACACCTTTGAGGGTAAGTGTAACATCCCAGAGTATGCAGACACACCTAGTGTGAACACACATACCAGTGTTGGTACTGAAATGCTGCAGGGCCCTTGGAATAGGCAGCTGCCTCCATCAAGTTAAAAATACCTTATTCCTCATTCCTGTGCTCCCATCTGTAATCACTGAGCTGGCAGGGAAGCCAGAGAAGTTTCAGATGTGGCCATTCCACTGTGCTGTTGTAGCTGATGCAAACTGGGAAATCCAAGGGAAGAGGACACACTTAACTGTCTTCTGCTTTAACCCCAGCTAAAAGCAATTAAATTCTGTTTCTGACCAAATCTTCTCTGCAGCATTCTGGCTTCACCTGGACAAGCCAGTATCTAACACAGTTATCCAAGAGCACGGGGAGACCATCTTTGTAATTCACCTCAGTCTTATCACAAAGCTGCAGAGACTCAGCAGAGTGTCAGCTGGTTTAATTGCTGGTCGCAGTGTCACACTACAGTGCAGTGATCCCCAGAAGGATTTGCATCCAACACCTTTTTAGGAAACTGATTTCAGAGGCTACAACTTTAACAAATTTAACTCTGTGAAATGTAAAAACGCATTTCTAGAAGAGCAGTTCTAACGGCATAAGAATTATCCCTTCTTCTTCCTTCTCTGTTAACAGGTGAGAGATTGCCTCCTCAATCCACTCAGTTTAAAGCCCAATTCCCTTCTTTCTCCAGATCATATCTCACTTCCAAGCAGCACGTTCGGTTTTGCGTCATCACACACGCTGTGGCCAGTGTGAGACAGGAAAGCAAAGGAAGTTACAGGAATGCAGAGCCCATCCTGTTCCCACTGCACAGGGCTGCCACCTGCAGCATGCACAGATCTGGGCTTCCCACAGAAGCAACCACTATTTTGTCTCATAAATAAAAAAAGTTTATTAAATCATTTAGACTTGAAAGAAGTCACAATAATCAATGCACTCAACAATTACAGCAAGTGCATCCTGTACACCACCAACCCAAATGGATTGATTCTGTATTTTATAAATAAAAATTAACATATTTACAGTGAGAAATAAAAGCATGGCATTAGGCAGTTAAATTAGCAGATTACACAAATGCCTACAAGGTTGATTTTTTTTTTTTTAAAAAGTACAAATCTACAAGATTACATATGACACGTATGACTTCATTAGCTTTAAATTTTCAGAATCACAACATTTTCGTACATAATTTTGACTATGGCTCTTCCAACCACCGCCTATAAAACCCCCCATTTAATGGCAAAAAGCTCCTTTTCCTTCTCTACAGCTTCATCTGTATAAGATGCATTCCCTAAGATCTACAGTAGTGCAGAAGTATGAAATGATTTCCTCTAATGAGTGGCTATGGACAGTGACAATATGTACAACTGTGGTACTTTTTTGCTTTAAAAATAGTGCAGATTCCCAGTTTACACACCAGGGACAAAAATGGAGTCATAGTTCATTTCAAAATCATCTTCATTTCACCAAAGAGCAAGTGATCCAGATAGATACTCACTAGGCTTAGAGACTGTAATTTGCTCTATAAAAATACAGTATTTTAATTCTATTTACACGTTACAGATCTCTCACTTACCCAGCAAGCTGACATTTACAAGCTTCAAAAAACCCCAAGAAACCCAAAAAAACTGACAATGGAGCACAACATTGGTAAGCACAGTAGCTGGACCCGTCCGCCTCGGAAAGTTAAGGTAAGGAAAATGGAATGTGGAAAAGTGTGGTTACTGGTTTTCCTTGGCTGTCAAAGTAAAGGAAAATCTGTCCAACATGTCTTATACACTAAACATGGCAAAAAAAAGTTTAGGTAAACTGTTTCCAAGATAAACATTCTGCATCATAGGATCCTTCTGCTGAACAATCCCTGTAAAACCTGCCGAGTGGAAGAAGTGATCCTGAGGATAGTTATTTGCTTGGTTGTCTGGAATGTTTATTTCCTGATAGACTCATTGTCCGTGACCTCTGCCTAAGCACTGGTTTGGGTGGGAGCTCCAAGTCTTCAAAGACAGGATTTTCTATGATTGCTGCAGCCTCTGGTCTCTCAGTGGGACTCGGAGAGAGCATGTCCTTCACCATGGTGTACTGAAAGAAAACACGACACATTTTACATGAACCAGTTCACAAAGTCTTTCTTCTTTAACGTTCTGACTTCAGCTGTGGCTGTGTGAAAAAGCATAAAATCCCCCCCCCGTTCTTTCTGAGTAATTTGGATGTTACTGCTTTGCCTCAGCAGCTAGAAGTGCATTAAATATTTTAAAATGTATCAGTGTGCATCTGTTAAACTGGCTTCACTGTCAAGGACCACAAACAATTTGGCAAACCAAATCTGATCCAAGATTTAAGAGTTATAAAACCTTTACCTTATTTGCAATCAAAACAAAATATTAAATATGTGAAATATAATTTACAAGTGATTTTTAGCTTCACGTTTAAGCCACCATGTTTTAAGTCACGCAGTAATTCACAGTTTCACAGCAAATCAGAGGTTTTTCCTTTAAATATAAGGGTAATTTGAATATTTACTTCAAATTTAATCAGAATTAGTGTCCTGCTGCAGCTGAGCACAGCACATCACCTTCCCCCAGGCAGCCTACAGCTGTAAAGCAGGAAAGGCTGGTCTCATTTAGCTGCTGGACTGAAGTTACCATGAACACCTGACAGCACCTCAGCTTTTTACTGGAGCGGTTTGGTGCATCACCTCCTCTTTATCTGCAACCACATCACTTTACAGACCTGACTAATAAGAACACAGCACAATTTGCTCCTATGTTTTCCCACTTGGGAGATCCAGTTCCTGGAGGGAGATCCCATCCAGCCATGGATGTGCTACCTACAGTCTCCCCTCTGTCTGTCTGGAACTCTGCACTTTCTCCTTGGGAATATGGATTTATTGCAAGAAATCATATCATGAAGTATGTGAAATGAATGACTGCACATTACAAAGGGAGGTCAGGTAATATTGTACAGTTATTGGAGGTAAACTTTGTGGCAAAAGTATCATCATCCACATTACTGGAATGTCATAGCTTTGAAATGTAAAGCACAGGGACA